TAAGAATAAAACTATATACCACAGATGTGTCAAATGGATATTACCTATTATGCATGATGCAGACTGTTTAATTTCACTTAATTTTCTTCCAAATATGAAATTAAGTATCTCACACTCTTCAGATTAAATTTCTAAGGAATTAGAAATGGGATAGAATGTTTGTAGAGAGACCAGTGCATTTTCTCTCTTCAGGTGCGTAAAGCAGCAAATCTGTAATTATGGAATATGGACTGAATATCAAATTCGGATCCCAGTCAAATCAATGGAAAAATTCTGATGATCCTCTGTGGAAGTGGGATCCAAGCTTTTTGGTAGGTATGCTTCAAATTAGACCCATACCCTCCCTGAGTACCACGCTGATCCTTTTCCGTTAACCAATCTGTTCTTCAGCCTTCTGCCCCTGCTCCATGCTCCCTGACCAAACTGCTGGTCCAGTCTGCGGATAATTTCTTGTTCAAGTTGGTTTTAAAGTTTTGTTGTTTAAGAACAGCTACTTAAACAAGTCAGTGATGGGATTTGCAGGGAGGTTAAAGTATTCTGGCACGAGTAAAAGCTCATGCTTCTGGAATTGATGTAAAAAATCATGAAGAACAGGAAAAAAGGCAGAGGAAACTAGAACTAGAAGGGACCTTATGGGTGTGTCCAGAGGAGTGTGCACATGCCTCTTGCCCCTCCTGAAACCCCTTTGAGGCAGGGCAACAGGCACGTGCAGGAACAAAAAAATGTTCCCCATGCTGCAAACTTGCAGCGCAGGGAGAAAATTAGACCCTTGGATATCCAGGGGTCTAAAAAAAATGAAGTTTAAAAGAGCGGGGCAGGGCATGGTCCAGGACCATGCCTTGAGGCAACCGGAGGCTGGGTCCTCCATGGAGACACTCTGGCTGACAAAGCATCTCTATGGTTGGCTCCTCACCCTGGTGCTGAAACATGCTACCAGCCAGGCCACATGTTTCAGCACCAGGGCTCCGGTGCTGGTGAGTAAGGGGTAGGGGGGCTGGAGGAGGGGGTAGGGGACCATAGGGTGACCCCTGATGGCCCTGCCCACTCCCTACCGGGGCTGGCCCCTCCTCCTGCCACCCCTCCC